CCTCCCCTCCTCCAGATCACTGACAGAGATATTAAACAAGATTGCCCCTGAAACTGAGCCCTGGGGACACCACTAGTGACTGGCCAACAACTGGATTTAACTCTGTGAATGCTACAGGAAGATTTTACCAGAGAAAAAGTCAAATCAACTTACTGACAACCACCACAAACGTGTGGTCAGAAATGTCATTTTTGCTTTAGAGCTCATTTTACAGTAAAAGGTCCCAGTGGCTCCCAGAAGGAGACAGTTTCATACAGGAGCTTCCTCGCGGGCTGCTTCCCATTCATTGCAGAGGTTCTTCTGGCAGCTTTGGAGGAAGATCTGGATGACTGAGATGCTCCACTCGGGCATGCTCCCGACAGCCTGGTGGCCAGGCAGAGCTGGTCCTGCTCGCCAGGAGGGCAAGGACTCCTCATGGCTGACTAAAACACAGACCAAGGCAAGAGGCAGAGGAAGGAGGAGTGGGAAGCAGCGTCCCCGAGGGGCTGAGAGGCCCCCAGGAGCGCGAGGTGCAGGTCCGGGAGCCGGTGGAGTTTCTCAGCAGGAGCCCCGGAGGCGGCGAGCGGCTTTTTCGCAGCCCTGCCCACCCCCGGGGCCTCGGCTCGGCAGCCCTGCCTCCCCCCGGCTCCGGGGAGAGCTGCCTGCCCCGGCACAGGGACCTCGCCGAGCCCGGCGTCCTCCTCACTTCATCGCTTCTCCCTCCCACTGCGAAGAGACCTGGGAGGAAACCTGGATGTGAAACTGCTCACGGGTGAGCAGAGTCCGCGGGACGGAATCCTGGGGGTCAGCAGCCACACAGCATCTCCTCTTGCTGCCACCCTCGTGTGACGTGGGGGCACAAGTGGCCACCTCATCCAAACAAAGGCCCTGGCCACCAGCTAGTCACCACCTCAGCCCTCTGATGCCACCAGCCAGCCAAGGCAGAAGCAGGAGATGAGCGAGTTGTACTCTTTCTGTTAGAGAAACTTTCTTTCTGGCTCTAGGGCACTCTGGAAGTTGTGGCCTCAGATCCCCAAAATGGACATGGGGAGAAGGTCACGCTACAAGAACCCTGGTGAGCAACAGAGTGACCTCCCACAAGGCACTTGTGACTGCATTTAGCTCCGAGGGGAATCCCCTTGCCCAATTCTCTCTGCACTGCTTCACACGGGTGACCAGGCGGTCACAGAACACATCACCAGGTGACACAGGCCCCAAGGTCACCTGCCAGGAAAACACCCTCCCAACACTGCTGAGGCTGCAGAGGAGCCCGAGCAGACACCTGCAGCACATCACCCAGCACAGGGAGCAGCTGGCAGCTCCTGTTAGAAAGGGTCAACCTCTGGTTTCCTATTTTAATGGCAATTTTCACAGTAATTGACAAAGTTGTCGTTACGCACGTTGTCCATCCACTTGGCAAAGGAAAAGGTGACTTCACTCAGCTCTGGGTTGGGAAGCTGTTGTAAAAATGCCCTTGCTCATGTCTGGGGCTTCCTGCTGCAGTCAGAGGCAGCCAGGCGAGTTCCTCGTGCTGAACTTGCCCGACCTGCCCCAGCCTGCACCTCCCTGGAGCAGCTTCTCCAGCCTCAACGCTCTGAGGGAGGGCCTGGAAGCCTCAGAGGGGACACAGCAGCAGCCACAGGGCTCGGGGGGATTGGGGCAGCCCTGACACCCACGACCCAGCCCCTCTCCACTGGGAGCAGGGCAGCTCCACGTTAGCCAGGGGGCCAGCACAGCTCCGGGCTCGGCTCTGAAGCCCTGGGCTAGGAGAGCAAACAAAGTGCCAGACAGCTACACCAGCACTGCCAGTCCCTCACCAGCACTACCAACCAGTCCCTCACGTCTAGGTGTGACAAATTCACCCCCAGGACTCTGTTCAAAAGGAAGAAAGATCTGGAGAGCTGAGCTCCAAACCCACACAGCAGGACGGACCCAAGCTGCAGAATTCCAGGTGTTGAACCATCTTCTTTCCTCTCCTCTGCTGAGGATTAAGTCAAAGGGTACTACAGCCTTCAGGCTTTTCCTCCTGAGCTGTTTCCATTATTTCAGTAATTCACCTCTTAAAATGACACTTGCTTTCCAGTAAGATAAACTCAGTTTGCCTTTTACTTTCAGTCACTTGTAGCTGATTCAGCTTTGTGCCTTCTTGGAAAGAAAAAGTCAGCAGCTGGGTTTCTCTGAGAAAGGCAAAAAAACAGCAAAAGGAAACTGCCACCAGTCTGGGCCGTGGGAGGGGACTGCTCTGAGTGCCCCAAAGAGTTCTGCCAAGGGCAGGGAAGTCACAGAATCATCAAGGTTGGAAAAGACCACCAAAATCATCAAATCCAACCATCCAGTCTGGGATTTCTCTCTGGAAAAGCCCAGGAGGAGTGTTAAATCTTGCACCCCCACACACAGGTTGGAGTTTGCCCTACCCAGCAACAGCTGTTGCACAACAACCCCCCAGTTCTCTTACAGCAGTGTAACATTAACTCCAACATTCAGGTCACCCCTACTCGGATCGTTCCTATTTAATGTGTGGAAATAAAGGGAATACTCTTCCCTCCTCTTTTCCTCCAGGGACTGCTGCAAAGTACAAAGAGGGTGAGGAGCAGTCAGTTGGCACGAACAGAAGCTGCTCCCTGGGAGCTCCCTTCCCCTCTGAAGAGAGCAGCAACTCAATCCACAAAGGTAACTGAGCTCTCCTGGGAGGACCTGTGGCTCCTTTTAAAACGGATTCGTTTTGTTTATTTATTTTGAAGTCCACTGATCATCATCATCACAAAAATAAAACCCAAACGAAACAAAAATAAACCAAAAATAGGGGAAATGCAACTAAAGAGAGTGGGGGGGGAAAAGAAAAAGTCCAGCCAAGACCTAAGAACCCCGAGCTGGGAGCGGCCGCGGGCGGGTTCATGTCAGCCGCTGAACGATGACGGCGTTGAGCAGGTTGGCTTCCTTCAGGGTCTGGTTCTCATCAGTCAGCTCTTTATTTGGGAAGGTGGTCATGAGGATGAAGCTGGTGGCAGCCATCGCCGGCCGGGCGTCTACGATGAAGAGCCGGATGTCTCGGATCCTGTCCGAAGGGATCAAACACACCAGGGGCATCTTGTTACTGAACGGGGTAAAAAATTGAGGAAACGGCCCAGATTTGGCCCTCCCTGGTGGTCACCTCCCTGCACAGGCCCACCAGGCAATCCTCATTTAGCTTCCTCCTCCGAGGGCTCCAGGTCAGTGGCACAACACAAGCTGCTGGATGGTCCTTTCCAGCGCCCGACGGGGACATCTGCGCCGCCAGGAAACGGCTCCTGAGCCACCAGCAGTGCCTGAGCTCATCTCACACAGCATGACCCAGGGGATCCCAGCTCCCCAGAGCAGCCACAGCAGCAACACTGGATCCATTCCCTGCACTGGATCCATTCCCTGCACTGGATGTGTTTTATCTGCACCCTGTAGGGCTCTGGAACTTTCTGCGTCGTGCCCGATTGTCTCACAGAAACTGGAGAAATGAGTGTAAACAAATACCCCCACTCTCTGAGGTGAGGGAGGTGAGGAGGACTTCAGGAGAGCTTCTGCCCAAGCAGGAGGGGGTGTAAGCCAGCTCTGCTTGCCCAAGGGAGCTGAGCACCCCTCGGTGCTCCACTCAGCCCAGGGAACAGCCCAGCAGAAAATCTGAACTGAGAGTCAGAGTAACAACCAAGTCCTTCATTATCTGACAGCTTCTGGAGCCCATAGAAGGGAGTCAAGTTTTATAGGTGACATTAAGGACAGTTAATAATAAGGTCTCTCAGGGAGACCTTTCAGCCTTTCAGGACTTCAAGGGGCCTGTCAGAAAGCTGGGGACAGACTTCTGAACAGGGGCTGTTGGGAAAGGACAAGGGAGGATGGTTTGAAACTAAAGGAGGGAGATTTAGACTGGGGAGGAGGAAGAAATGTTTGACCCTGAGGGTGGTGAGCCCCTGTCCCAGGCTGCCCAGAGAGGTGGTCACTGCCCCATCCCTGGAACCATCCCAGGGGAGGTTGTTTGGGGCTCTGAGCACCCTGCTCTAGCTGGGGCTGTCCCTGCTCCCTGCAGGGGGTTGGACTGGGTGACCTTGGAAGGTCCCTTCCACCCAAACCAGGCTGCGATCCTATGACAGTCCCACTGCTAACACAGATGCTCCCAGCTATCACTGCCTACAATCCATCACTATTTGCCAATCAAATCCTGTCCTTCCAACAGTTAACAGCCTTGCAAACCCACAGCAATTTTACCCCTCTTCACCCCCACAGGAGATCCCCAGAGCTCCCTTAGGCAGGCTAGCCAGGACTGAAGGCCAGCTCCGTGTGCGTGCTGCCTGCAGTGCCCCTCAGGCCCCCCCCAGGCAGGTGCTGGGCTCCCCGTTGTGTCCCCCCACCTGTGATGGTGGTTGAACTTCTGGACCAGCCTCCCGCCGTCGGCGAGGCGGATCTGGATGTTGGTGGTGGGCTGGGACTCGTCGATGGCGATGGCAGAACTGGCTTTGGCTTCGTTCTCTGCCTGCTGGGCTGGCGAGCTGGTGCCCATCACCTGGGGCACGGTGCTGAGGACACAGACACCAGGTGAGCTGCTGGGAACCTGACCACTCCCCTGGCTGCCAGGAGCTCGTGGCCTGCTGGGAACAGCTACTGGCATCCCCAGGCTAAAGGCACCAATGGAAGGGGGGAGTAAGAGTTTAGGAGTCAGCAGAAACTTCTCTAGAATGTCCCATCTACCATCTACCCCCTGGGAAAGCAGCTCTGCAGAGAAGGACCTGGGAGTCTGGGTGGCCAAGTTCAGCTTGATCAGCTGTTGAGTCTGGATAAACCT